GATGTACCCTATAACAAGCGGAACCCTTGCAGGAAATCTTACTGGAAACAGCACCTATTATACAGGAAATACCAGGTATTTTTACAAGACTTTTTTGAGTTAGTTGCCACTCAATAACCTTGATTTTAAGTCGAGACTAAGAGTTCAAACTTTTACCACGTTAACTAACTTCCAATACAGTGCTTACCACGCTAACTCTATAATAGTTGCAATGATTACCAATTGTACTTTTCAGGGGCCTCCCTCAATGTAACCCATCTGTACACAGGCTGGGTATTTTTTAACCGAGCCGATTGTTTACCCGAAAATCAAACCGAAAAAATGAATTTGGTTCGATTTTAATGATTTTTGGTTTTATTTTTTTAGTTTTAGTATTAATCAAATATATTTTGGTTCGGTTTCGGTTGAATTTCTTAAAAACTAAAAACCAAAAATAAAACTGAAATTAGCATAAAATAGATAAAATATATTAAAATATGATAAAATATAATAAAATATGTGATAAAATATAATTTATTATTAAAAAATAATTAATTAATATTTATTTAATTAAAACCATCTTCTTGTAATTATTTTCAAAATAATAAAGCTAACACTAGCTTATTGTTGAAAGCTTAACGTTTATTACCTTTCAACATTTAATTGTAAAGTTATTAACTATTTAAATAATTCAATAATATTTTCGTTTGAAAGAAAATAAAAATCATAAATTTAAATTATATGACATAAATTAAATAAATTAAAAAATAAAAAATAAAAGTTACCTCTCATTACCATATAAGTTTATAAGAACGAAAAGACCTTTTTAAATGGCAAAACCCCCAAATCAATTCTTAAAAAATATCGATAGGAACAAATTCATCCCTCACAAAAGTGAAGGGACAAATTACCTCTTCAAATCATAAATCAAGATAACTGACCTTTTTTTTTTTTAATGAAAAACGTCATAATTTTGTTTACCATATCAGCATTTTTTAATGAAAAACGTTAAAAAATAAGTGATTTATCTTAATTTATGATTTGGATGAGCAATTTGTCCCTTCATTTTTGTGAGGGATGAATTTGTCTCTACCGATTTTTTTTAAGGGTTGATTTGAGGGTTTTGCCTTTTCAAATCATAGTGAATTCATTGTGATTTTACTTCACTTACATCAAATCACATTATATTTTAAGCACAATTTTCATTTTTCCTTTTATATATGTTAATTGCATAATAAGAGATAATCCTTTCTTATTCTTTTTCCTATTCCACCCACATATAATGTAATTTGAAATCAAAATCTCTTATTTTTAGTAAAAAAAGATTATTATTGAATTATTTAGATCATTGACAAGCACAATTTCCTTATATATCAGTTATATAAATTTAAGATGTCACTCATGAATAATCATATAGAATTCCTTCCCTCGTCTTTTGAAAC